ACTCTTAAGATAAAGAAATGCCTTATTAACAATATAATTCCAATAGATCGTATTTACAAGTAGAATACGTCCAATCAAATTGGAACTCTGGGTATACTACTCTAACACGTGTCTCCTCTCTAAGCAAGTCCACCTTTTGGAATCCGACTCCGAGAACAACTTCTTCGCTAGTAGAATTGTCTCGAGAATTAATTGGTATGAAGAAACAATTTAAGAGAGGAGGTTTTTTTTTATTTTATTCTTTTCGCAAAAGAAAATTAGAGCCGTGTGCTCTCTGTTTTTGTGTAACAAAAACTTGGGAGAACTCATTATGATATATATCATTATATATACACAATAAGAAGTTGAAGTTTAGTGGGAGTGTGGGGTGGCTAACCTAAAACCGGTCATCCCCACTTCCCACTAATTTACCTTTCTTTTTTTTTTTCGTAAATTCAAAGATAATGACCATGTGATTAGGAAACTAACTTTTCAATATTTGGTCAAATTATTATCTTCTCTTTTCTTATCTCCCGTAGAATAAAAATATCTCCTCTCTATTATAGGCTTTAACTTATTAATCATATTAATATTTGAATTTGTATTTTAAAGTCTAATTTTAAAATTCAACTATTAATTTAGCAATTCCAATAATTACTTAATTAATATTCAAAGCACAATTAATCAATCCAATTGATTAATTTATATTATTCCTTTAATTGACATCTAATTAAAGTTAGATTTCGTTAAATAATCATATTATTTAATTAAGTCTTGTCAATTAATCCAATTATTGGAAATGCCAATTTTAATGTCATCATCCAAAATATGGTGTGACCCTTTTAAGTTCACGATTAACACTAGTAGTGGGTTTACAACTCGTTTGTAATTTAAATTAATCTAATTAGTTTATATTCTTGAAATTAACTCTTTAATTTCAAGAATCCACAAATCATGGTAACACCTAGCAAGTAGCATGATTATCTAGTGTTAAGTGAAATAGCGAGTAAACCTTTTCAATTGCAAGTGCATGCATGTAAAATTCTTTCGACAACTAATTTCCCGATTAAATCTTGGGCATGGATTAATAGGTCGAAACCCAATTGATTTAATAACTATGATTCCATTTCAAGTTCAGTGATTCCTTTATGAATCTATATTCATCCTGCCTTGGCCAAGGTCTTTGAATCACAAACTATGAAAAGCATAGGAAATTCACTTATCTACATAAGTGTCGAATTCTATGTTGGCCACAGACAAACCTCCATACACATTGATACAGTACCCAAAATATCCCTTTTATGATTGTCCAGCAATCAAAGGATAAATCAAAGTAAAGCACAACATGCACAAGATTACTATCGTGCTTCAAGTCAGAGGATCAATCATGTACTATTGCAACATGAAAATTCTTATTCGACAGTTAGAAACTTCCAACTAAGAATTTTCATCGGGCCATGTTCAGTGAACTTGTTCTCCAACAAGCACTCGCATATATGCATTTGCGTCCACACGCTAATGTTGATGAAATGCAACATCCTCGTCCGACGAGCATGCATCATATGCACAAGTCTTACCGAGTTATTCAATGTCCTGCCTCGAAATACCCATCAACTTGGAACTTATTTAAGATCACAGCTTTAAAGACATGTTCCATGATTGCCATCGAATGCGCAACCATGTCTCATAGCTAATAATGATCTAAGGACTTTATCATATGTGCATATATAAGATAAGTGCAAAAACATAAGATAAAGAAATGCCTCAAAATAATATAAATTCCAATAAATTGTCTTTACAAGTAGAAAAAGATCCAATCAGATTGGAACGCCGGGTATTCTACTCTAACATTAACACCGTAAGGTCTTAGAAGAGGATGATCAAGAGGTTTTGGGAAACCTAATAAATCGCTCCACCAAGGTTTGTTAGAGATCGTGTAAAGATCATACAATAAAAGATTTGAAAGTTGTTATTCGTATCCCGTTGAATATATACACTCGTTCAACTCGCCCGAATTTTTCCCAATTTTCGGTCCAATTTCCGCATACAATTCTCGCGCCCAGCTCCTGTTGCGGTTTCAGTCAAATTCGCGCATCTCAGCTCAATAGTCTTCAGTAAACGTTCAGGTTCATTGACCTAACGTTGTGTGTAGCGCGATGGTGTGCGGCGCTTGTTTCGTGCGAGGTCGCGGGATCGATCCTTCCCTTGCGCAACAAATTTTATTTTGCCAGCAGTAGATAGGAAAGAAATTAAGCGGGCCGCGCGGCCCGATTTCGGTCCGCGAAAAGCCCGCGCATCTCCCAGCTTCCAGGCCCGCCAAGCCCGATCCCAGCCCGCGTGTTGGCCCAGTCTTCCAGCGCTCCTCCTAGCCCATTGCGCGCGTGTTCCGGCCCAACTACAGCCTTGCTCACGGCCCAGTTCACTCCACGCGGCCCAGATGCGCTCCAGCGGCCCAGAGGCATTGAAAGCAGTGCAGATCGTTGCCAGCCGGTCCAGATGGAGTTCAAACCGGTCCAGACGCGGCCAGCAACCTTCAAGGCGGTCCAGCTTGGTCCAGAAACCCCGGTTCGAGTCCAAGATGGTTCCCGAGCAGCCCGACTTACTCACCGAAGGTCCGAGACGATACGTAAGTCCTAATCCTACCTATAGATTCCGTTGCGTTAGGATTTATTATTCAATAGATTTGAATGTGCCCATTGCCTTCCTAACAGAACCCAACAGACCCCAGTGGCGATGCCGTTGGTCGTCCTCGTCGAACCCATCGCTGCGCCGCCGGTCACGACGACGCTGGTCGTCATCCGCAAACCACCCATCGCGACTGTGTTGTTCGCCCTCATCGAAGCCCAGCCCGTTG